ACCCAGTTAATGCGGTCACAAAGCAGACATGCCCCGTATTATCGGACTGTCCGTAGAGAGAGGTTCCACTGTATACAGCTATTTCGAGAAAGGTTGTCGGAAAAACTGTGCACCCGACAATCCCGAAAGGTAATATGGGATATGATCAATGCAATTTTCCTGACACTGTAGCTGTCGAATCTACTTTTGTTGCTTTCGTTTAGCACTCGCAAACATACGTCCATGGCTTCTCGTGCAATTCTTTGAAATTTCTTTGAAAAACAGTGAACTGGAAATCACCCACAATACCCTTCGGGATTGTCGCGTGCATTTTTTCCGACAACCTTTCTTGAAATAGCTGTATGACTTTTACGTTTCAGGTGGACAGAAATGATTACATTGTCCTACACGATTGTGGTGCAAATTCGCTGTCTTTGTTCTCCCGACATTGCAGTCGGCAAGCACCTGCTGTTTTTGGTGAGTGGTAATCAGCATCAATTTCTTAGAATTCTTAAACAGGAGAGAAAAAATACTACAAGCTGCGCATGCGTATAGTATTAGAGACCTTTAGATTCGAGAACGAGGACGACTACGACTACGAGATTTGACTTAAAGTTTTTTCGCATATTTTCAAAATAAATACTCCCCGGAAAGCTTCATGTTACCATTTTTCACTAGAAAAGTTAGCGTCGTTATCTTTAGTGAAGGAGGTTACGCGCTCTCCCGATCGCAAAATGATAAAACATTCAGCACTTGATATCTTGTTTTCGCTACCACGTTTTCCCGCCAAAATGACGCTGGCTCACCCCGTACACTACTTAGTATTGAGAAAATCTCGTACTCCTAGCCGTACTCGTCTTAGAATCTAAAGGTCTCTAACACCAATTTCTTACAATTTTTAAACAGGAGAGAAAAAACACTACAAGTTGCGCATGCGTATGATATTTCCGGTTGTCGCCTTCTTCCGCCTAGCTACCCTGCGAGTAGAGCCTGCTTTTGTCTTCTTTTTGATGGAGGAAAAGAAAAGGAGGCTCTTCTTGAATGGCGTCGATCCTTTGAACTCGCCGCAGCCCGAACTTTTAGACTAGTCAATCTTGTTTTCTCTCGTCAAACAGGTTTTTTTAGTGTGAGCACCAATTATTAAAAAGGCCGGTTGCCATAACTGAGCCAGCTGTACCAAGCGCATGGCTATTAGGCCTGGGTTCGAAACTGTTCCCTAGCAACATGCAGCGCATGCTCAACAAAGATCTTCCTAGATTCATGCCGAGTCTTTCTCGAGTACGGCAAAATGGAGCGGCGATAGGGAAAGAAAGGCTCTGCTGGCTGGGTGCATTCCGCCCGGAGATTCGCCCGCCATCGCAAGTTGGCTCCTTTTGAGCTGAAAGAGTAGTGATGTTATTATGATGTACTTTCTCTTTCGTTTTAGGTTATCGAGTGCAAGAAAGTGGCAAAGTCACCTTCGAAACATTGAAAGTATGTAATAATATTTATTGCGACTCCGCTCCAATATTAATGCAAACCACATTAATTAGAACAGGCGCTCAGAACGTTGTTTTGTTTGCCTCTATTCTCTTTTAGGAAGCCGAAACCATAGACGACCTTCTAACATTTTGGAAAGGTTTGTTATTCGCTTTTCATTTGAACACAATAAATTAAGTCGTCGGCATCGTCTTGTGAAGACGGTGTCGAAACGACTATTTTCAGCGCATCACGGCGTTGCAACATTGTTTCGAATTGTTCCCCTATCACTTAAAATTGCTTTTCTAAAGCTCTCTTATCACTTTGTCCTGATTTTGAACGTTTTCAAAAACAAGCTGTTCTGTTATTTTACAGGTAGAAATTCCAGAAATACAGACGAGTTTAAGGCGGACGCCTTGAAGAACGATCTATAGTCTGAATTCTTAGTTAGTAGTAGTGGTAGTAACAATAATAATAATAATAATAATAATAATAATATTAATAATAATAATGTTTTACGCGTAGCAAGAAATACTTTTTAGACATGTTAAAAAGTTGTGAATATATTATCCGAAGACGTTTTAATTGCTTAAGGATAGTTTTGTTGTTGAGGTGTAGATTAGAAGTGTGATTTACTTGATTAATGCAGTTATTCACTATCACACCCATTTCATTTTGACTATAATTAACCCAGAAGATCCTTTTTAGCGCCAGAGCACTGGATTCAAATTTACTCCTACCAAAAGAAGATTAACTACATCCCATCCTCCCCCCCCCGAGCTTCGCGAGGTTCTGCGATACACGTATTTCTAGTAATCATAATAGTCCCTCACTTCCCTTAGAGAAAGAAAGGAGAGAGTGGAGGTCACTCTCTTCCCCCTACCCCCACGCGCCCGAATTCCTCCTGATCCCCTTCCCTTTTTAGCGCTACTACACAGACTAAAGAAGAAGAGGCCCAGGCAGGACACGAGATTCGACTATAAGCCGTTTCCACCGTGACGTCACTTGATTGTAACTACAATCGAACCCCGCTTTATCAACACCTCGTTATTACGGACAGTTTTCTTTGTCCCTAGGGAAAGAAAGCCCTTACATGTTCTCTAAATTCAACCTGCTTACGGACACGCTGTTAATATTTACACTTTCTATGGCCCCTTCAGTGGTCGTATTAACGGGGTTTGAATGCACCAGAATCATTCAGATTTTTGTTTCTTTTTGCAAATTAGTTTTTTATTTATTGTTTGTTATTGAAATGTCGCTACCTTAATGAATGAGTTAATTGTAGTCTTTTGGCCGTAGACTGACTGCCATTTCATAATGAAGGTATTCGCTGAAAACGACGCTTTGGTGGGTTTTTTCGTTCACCGCAGCAACGTCTTTAGGACACGTGACAGTGGCGGATCTTGGGAAGGGGTCAACCTCGTTCCCAGGGCTTTTTCCCTAAGAAAATTTTTTTAAGGAAAAAAAAAACCTGGAAAGGAGGTTAGGGGGAGGGGCAGCGGACCCCGGGCCCTACCTTAATCTTACGCCAAACTGAAGCCCTCAGAGCCGAGGAAAATTATATTCAAGGCCGGGTCCCCTTCTTATCGGGGGACTACACAAGCTAGCCTCCACTTTTTGAAGATCTCAGTCCGCTAATGCATGTAAAAAATAGAAATTCCATGTATGCAGGGAAAGAGATCCAGAAAAGGATCCGGGCCCGGGGACAGTTTTTCCTTGATGTTCCTTTACCGTAGGGTTCCCACGGGTCGCGGAAAAACTGGAAAGTCATGGAATTCAAGAATTTCATTTTTCAGGCCAAGGCACGGAATGTAATTCTCGGTATTGGAAAGTCATTGCAAACTGATTAAAGTCTTGTTAGGTAGATAAGTTATTGCACATGTCAAAGCAAGATTAATTAATTAAACAGCGTTTTGGTGGATACCAGAGTTTGTCTCTTGAACTGAGTCTGAAAAAATACTCCCAAAACAAGAATGGTTTTGAAAATTTTGGAAAGTAACAGCTAAACCTAAGGTCACGGAAAATTAGGCAAGTTGACGGAAAAAGTCCTACAGAAGAATATGAACCTTGTAGCGGGTATCCCATGATGCATTGCATTTGGTAATTAAAAAGCTACTTTTTAGTCTTGTATCTATCGCGCAGTCATCAGAACAGAAAGTCCCAGTCCGCTACTGACCAATCCATATTTGATTGCCCCAACTAAAATAAGAGAAGACCGGACTTATTTTAGAGCAGCAGAATGCGGGGATTTGTTGTTTTCTTCTGTTACTGGGCAGTCAGTAGTGCTTATATCCTCAGGCAAGAGAAGGATGAACAATGGAAAACGAGAAAGACTTTACAGAACAAAACCTACACCACCGAGACGAGGGGGCAAACTGCGAGAAAAACGATCTGGACCCAAAACCTCAAGGTACGAGACGAAACGGTTATTCTTGTCACTCATTTTTATTTTCTCCTATTTCAATGACGATGTACATTTAACCTTGCTCACATTTACGAAAAGAGGAGGGAAGATTATGTGGCTAAGGTTAGAATTGTATTTAAAACAATTAGTGATGAAAAGCAAATAATGAAGCAACAACCACAGGCCAGGCAAGCCGGCCCTCTATTCATATGGCCGCTGTTCAGTTACCGGCTGAGATCTGAGCAGTGCTGTATAGAGCGGTACTGATGAATGTTGCGGCGTTTCCATTTTGTTCCAAAATACTGTTTTGAGTGGAAAAGTTTCAATAAAAGCTTCAACCATGTTACCCAAGTCATGTGTCTGTCTTTCGCCTTTTCGGGCGGTTTGAAGCGTTGAATTTATCTATAGAGATGAATGAATGACCGTTAAAGATGATAACTTATTTTTAGAACTAAAAAAATTTTCTCTAGTGTGCTACTTCTTTTACTTCACTGTTTAAACTTTAAAATATTTTGGTCTAGTGTATTTTCTTTTATATTTCGTAGTCAGTTTTTGTAATTTGTATTTTAAATAAGGTATTATTCAACACCTTTTTTATCTGTTTCATAATGAGCTCCAAGTTTTATTCAATAGTATGGTTTTGTCACCACCCTTTGCAGAAAGCCTAATTGTGATGCTTTTTTTTGACAAATGTTAATTTATGTTAGAGGTGATCAGTGAATTAGTGTTAGCAAGTGTTACTGCTTTGTTCATATTGCCCAACTTGAGTGTTGTATCCCTTGGAGACAGTGGCCTGCGTGTGAACCCAAACTCTCCCCAATCGCCCCCCTTTTTCCCTTCCTCCCGGTCCCCTACCCATTTCGACGCCTGCCACGCGGGCTAGGGAAGACAGCTGATCGTCGTCGGGGATCTGTTCCAAATTTGTTTTTTCCTTTCCTTTAACTGATGTCGTTTAATTCGTCATATGTTTAAAGCGTAAAATTTATGATTCAAGTTGTGCGAGTCGGCGTCAAGTTGTGAAAAGGTATGAGTGGTGAATGTGTTACGTTTGAGATAAGTTGAAGTATACTTATTGCTTGGCTGCATCTCGTTACGGAAGAGAGCTAGGCTGCGCTTTTCTCACGTGGTACGACTCGTAGGAAGTGGGTAGGCGAGAAAAATGCGTCATTTTTTCTCCTTATTTTTCCAGAAAATTACCAAACACGATGACTTAGGTTACTCTCAAGAGTCAGCTATGAAGCAGTTTGGGGACCTAACTCGAGAAGACCGGGCCATTTACATTGGAAGTTCGTTGAAGAAATCGCTTCCAAATAACTTCAAACCTCAGCTGCCAGATTCAGTGGACTGGAGAGATAAGGGATTTGTAACTCCAATAAAAAATGAAGGTGAACTCGGTTTATATTTGTGGGACTTAATCTGAAGTTAGAATTACTGACTTGATCTGATGTTAACAGTCACTCGGACTTTTGTCTAGCTGATAAACATGTGGTATTGAGAATACTTAGTTTTTGTTTAGGGAAGAAAAACGACAAACCTGGCAAGAAAAACTCCAAGTGAAAAGAGAAAGTCAACAGCAAACTTGCATAACAGCGCTAGCGTCTGTGGCAACGACGAGAGAATCGATCCCGCGTGGAGGTGAACAGCGCGCCACAGCCTATTGACCAAGAGCCATGGCTCTTGCTATTGACTCAAAGGGCTTTCAAAAAGATTATGAGCGAATATATCAATACTAACGTACGGTTCCATCCACGCGTATTCTATTTACTTTAGCGAAGGAGTATCAGAATTATGGAAGGTCAGACTTCGCCTTTTGTTAAAATAAGTGGGAAAGATGAAATGCATGCGCAAGGGCGGTTAGTTTATAAAGAAATTGTGAAGTTACGTCGGTAGGGAGCGGAATACAATTTTTGCTATCATTATCTGATAGGGCTAACGCTCAAAACGTCAAAAAAAAATTCGGATAAGTGTATGCCGGCGGCCCACGATCTTAAACCAAAACTAGAAAATGAAACCCAATTCGCTGTCCTAATACTCTAAAGTAAAGCTCAGTTTTAACAGTTGTTTTGTTTCTCGTGTGTAGCTGGGAATGGTGCCCTCTCTAAGGATCACACCGGCAACACAGCGCCAACAATGGCAAAAATGATACCGTCATTTAATAACGGAGACCCGAAAAAACCCAGCCCTATCGGACGGCACATACTTATAAAGCCGATGTATGGGAGTACTCCTCCCGGGCCATGTCCCCCTACGGTGGCTAAGCTCTTGATTCTATCTGATCAGTTGGTGATGCCCTAAAAAATTCTATTTCACTCATTCATCTTTCTTCCTAGTTACTCTCTCTTGTAGTCTTTCTCAGCAGCCTATATTTCATCCTCACTATAGCTACCCTGCGAGTAGAGGTTTCTTTTCTTACATGGCTTTTAGCGTTAACGAAGTCTTTCGCGTGGCTTGTCAGTCGCGTAGTTGGTTTGTTTTATACGCCCCAGGAGAAACGGGGGTGTAAACAAACCAACTACAAACCTCTACTCGCAGGGTTATTATTTAACAATTATTCCCCGAGCCCGAATGGGCTCCGAGTCAATAGCCCATGAGGCCGAAGAGCTATTGACTCAGAGGCTGTGAGGGCGAGAGGATTAAATGTTTTAGTAAAATCCAACTAGTTTTAGCTAGTTAAAAGCTAGATTTTAATCCTTTTTTGCCGCCAAAAAGCCCGCGCGTTTCGCTACTAGGGGGCTATAACATATAGCCTAGTAGTAGCTCAACCAATCAGAATGCAGTATTGATAAGAGACCACTAGCTGGATTTTACTAAAGCTAGATATCTTTCAATTTTTGGCACTGATAAAATTACCCATTGTAAACGGACCCCTCTGTTGCGCTGACATAGGCCAGTGTGGTTCGTCCTGGGCGTTTAGCGCGACTGGATCTCTAGAAGGACAACACTTCAGGAAGACTGGAATACTTGTGTCTCTCAGTGAACAGAATCTCATCGATTGCACCAAAAGTTACGGCAATACTGGCTGCGGTGGGGGATGGATGGACAACGCGTTTAAATACGTAAGAGACAATAAAGGAATCGATTCCGAGGCAGGCTACCCATATTATGCTAGGGACTTGGGATATTGTTATTTTCGAGCAGAGTACAATGCAGCTACAGCAACTGGTAAGAATAATTGATAAATGAACAACAGTATCGTATGGCAGCTGTCCTCGGAAGACACATTCATACATACACACGTAATTCGGACCATACGAAACAGCACTGTCGCAATAAACGATGATCACTCCTGAAGCCTGAACTCCTGTGAGGTTACATACACACATATACACATACATTGTCTGCCTGTAGCCATTACGACTCCTGAGGGAGGATTATGAGGTTATCTCTCCTTACAGATAACCCACCCAGCCCAGGAAAGGTTGGCCACACCACCGCGGTCTACGTTCGAAAAGTGCTATTAGAGAGATTAAGATTCACGTTTACCGCAAACGGCAAACGTCAGACTCAAGTTGAGAATTTCTCAGATTAGAAAATAAGAAGATAAAAACAGTCCCGAACGATTCTTATGGCTAAAACTGGCATAAAACTACTTATTTTTGTGTAGAAGCAAAAAAGAGTAAACGGAAAATAAGGGGAAAACTTGGTCACGTGGTACAAATTCACGTCAGCCGTTTGGCGTAAACGTGAATCTTAATCTCTCTATTGGCGTGCCGGTATTTTACGTCCGACAAGAACCAGATGAGCGAAAGTGCTGTGAGACGGGACCTCTGTTTTTTCGAACTTATCCGAGAAGACTAGAAAGTGTAGCCGTTTGCAGATGTTATTTCAAAGGCAACACTTTCTTCTCAGTTATTTAAAGACCCTGAGGGTTGGTCCGGCCGGGGTTTGAGATATCAGCTTTGTAAAAAAAAATCGACCAGAAGTTTTTTTAGCCACCAGAAATAGCTAGCTGATATATACAATGTTTTAAGACATTCGACGACCCTCTTTTGCAGAGGAAAAATAAAAGATGTACTTTAAACGAAGATTATACAAGCCATCAAATTCCATTTTCATTTGGCTATTTCCTTACAGGAATTACCTAGATCAATCAACCAATCAAAATGACGGATTGGCCGGCCGATGCCAAGAGAGTATAACCTACGTCCACTTTTTTCATTGCAGGATTTGTAGACCTTTCAAGTGGAGACGAGATAGCTCTAAAACAAGCCGTTGCCACCTTCGGACCAATATCTGTTGCCATTGACGCCACCCGTCCTTCATTTCAATCATATCGCAGTGGAATCTATGTTGAACCGTAGGTATCGATACGCATTATAGGGTCACCAAGAATAAGCCTTTGGGGAGCAAGGGTCGTGCAGTGGTGAGAGCACTCGCCTCCCACCAATGTGGCCCGGGTTCAAATCCCGGCGTCGACGCCATATGTGGGTTGAGTTTGTTGTTGGTTCTCTCCCTTGCTCCGAGAGGTTTTTCTCCGGGTACTCCGGTTTTCCCCTCTCCTCAAAAACCAACATTTCCAAATTCCAGATCGACCAGGAATCAGGTAGACGAAGAACCACTATGTGGATGTGCTACCTACAAATCGTTATTTATTATTAGTTGATCAGGTGACCAACTTTTGGTAAACACGAAAACAATTCGCTTTTGAAAGTTTTGTTAGCACGAGCTGAAAGAGCATATTCAAATTAGGTACCTGGGAATCTTCAGTGTATATCTCAAAAGTAGCGATTGGAACGGCCGCCCAAAATTTGGCCTATTGAGCCTAATCAATTGCTTTTTTTCCCGGGACATGAGTGTGACCAAAAGAGAATAATAGGACGGGCAGGGAATCTAAGGTCGGTGGCCAGGATATGTGAATTTCACTAAAGTTATTTTTAGAGGCTGTAAGTCCAATTCCTGGGACGTGTACACATTTTAATCAACTGTTTGAAACGTCATCAAGTCCGTGTGTTACTGTCTAGATGCAGAATATTTTAGTGGCAAAACATCAAGAGAGCATAATGTCCCATTAATCTCTCTTGAAACATTGATTAAAGCGGACATCTCCGGAAACCAACTTCCAACTAATTTCAAGCGTTTACTTGGTCTAAAAATAACTTTCGTGAAATTCACATATCTCAAGGACCAGACTGGGCGTTTCCTTCTCTGTCCCATTCACCTCGCTTGGTGTGACCTGACAGTAGGCTCGGGCAATTGTAATTTTCAGGCTGTGTAGTTATCACGGTTTGAACACTGCAGGTCTCTCGGTAAGATTAGGGAGCTTACTATCCATCCAAACTATTTCGCGATCATCCTAAGTCACCCTGTTACTTAAAAGAGGGGAATTTATATTGGAGTTGAGAGAGGGGACCGCGCCCGAGTTCAGACAGAGACGGTAGAATTTATCGCCTCGTCTTTTCCGTTCTCTGAATTTGAACTGATTTTGGTTATTTCGAGTCTTAGTTGTGCAGGAACGGCCGAGAAATGTACAAAAAAAGCTTGACGCACGTGCAGAGTTGTTGTTTTGCCCATTAAACCTATTGCTTTTTTTAATGTTCTCGTTGCCCTCGTCGTCGTAGTTTCGTAAGGTCCCTGATATTAGTACTCAAATCGGCCACGCGTGTCTTGTCGTCAGTATGTAGAAGGAAACCATGGGATTAACTGTTAGTCTTGAAATAGCTTTAATACTTTAGTCGTCCACTCAACGGCGTGAACTTATTGATGGAATTTCTTAGTTCTTCCACTTCGCCTATCTTACAAAATAACGAGATTAATTAATTACTTAACTTGTACAACGAGCAAAACTTCGTATTAAGATTTTTGTTAATCGTACTAGAAAAAGATTAAGATTACAACCAATCAGAAGCACTTAGTACCCAGATCTGGGTAGTGACAAGTCATCAGTATGCAGACCCGTCTATTGAATTTCTGCTCAGACTTCATTCCGAGGAAACCGTGCGTTGGAGACGTCGCCAAATGTCGGGTGTTTTCGCGGGCAACAATCTTGCTCGCTTTTTATGGCAACTACCTGACTGAGTGCTAACTCGGACGGAAAAAAAGCCTGGCCGTGTTGGCTATGAAGTGATCTCAAAAACAATCAGGATGATGAGACTAATAATATGATTGTATGTGATTTTTCAGAGCCTGCGGCAACAGTCTCTTTTCTTTAGACCGTGCTGT